ATCATTCTTTATGGCTGAATGATATACCCTGTGTATATGTCACCTGTTTGTTATCCATTATCCATTGATGGGCATCTAATCCATATGCCATTCATTCTATTATATGATATGATGTATATTTTGTTTTAGCCAGAAAAAATGGTTTAAATAGCTTATTGCATTAAATCAAAATTTTTAAAAGGCTATGTTCTTAAAAACCTGATTTTGCCTGATAGTCCTTTCCCTGACTAGAGGAAAATTATAAAAAATAAATTTCCTTCAAAATGCATTTGCCCCCTAAACTATTTTTCCCTGCATCAAGCAGAATATTTGTCACAGAGAACTTTTCTATCCACTAGCAAGACTTGTAAATTTTTAATTGATTATATATATATATATATATATATATATATATATATATATATATAAATAATTTACTTGCCATAAAATCCACCCTTTCAAAGCGTACAAATTGTAGTATATTCACGAGGTTGTGCAACAGTCAGTACTAATTCCAGGACATTTTCACTATCTTATTAAAAAATTCTATGACCGGTCACTCCCTAGTTACCTGAGTTCCTGGAAACTAATTTTTGTTTCCAGAGACTTGCTTATTTCATATGTATTAAATATGTCACATTGCCTCCTGAATGACCCAGTGCTTTCCCATATAGCCTTCCTTCTGATGTGGTGTGCCCTCTCCTCTTGGAAATATAATAAATTATCTTCTCAGTGGCTCCTGATTCATTGGCATTATAGGACCTAAATAATGATATAACCTATATTTAAACATTATATGAATTGAGTCATTCAGTATGTTTCGTATCTAACTTCTTTAACAATGTGTTCAGGGTTCATCCATGCTATAGTATGTATCAGTACTTCATTTCTTTTTATGATTGAGTAAAGTTCCATTGTATGGATACACCACATTTATTTATCCATTCATCAGATGATAGATGGTTGGGTTATTTCCATTTGGGGGTTACAATGAATAATGCTGCCCTGAATGAGTTTCCATGCCAGTAAGTTTTTGTAAGGACATGTGTTTTTAATCTAGGAATGGAATTGCTAGATTACATGGTAAATCTACATTTTACTTTTTGAGGAACTGCCAAACTGTTTCCCAAAGTGGTTGTCCCATTTTATAGTCATACCAACAATGCTAGGGTTGAAATTTCTCCTTATTCTTGATGAGACTTATCTGTTTTATTCTAGCCATTCCAATGAGTATGAAGTGGTATTTTCCATAATGACTAGCAGTGTTGAGCATCCTTTCATGTGCTTATTGGCTACACACACACACACACACACATACACACATACACACAAAAACACACACATTCAAATCCTATTCAAATCCTTTCCTCATTTTTCAAAAGGCTGTATTTTTTATATTTTTATTTTTTAGTTTTTTAGGTGGACACAATATCTTTATTTTTATGTGGCACTGAGGATTTAACCCAGTGCCTCATTCATGCTAGATGAGCTCTCTACCACTGAGCCACAACCCCAGCCCCACAATAGGTTGTAATTTTAATGTAAGTTTTTTTTTTTTAATTCATTCTGGATACTAGACCATTATTAGATATATGATTGGCAAACATTCTGTTTTTATTTTGGCTTCATTTTCACTTCCTTGATAGTCCCCCTCTTTTTTGGGGGGGCACTCCATCACTGAGCCACATCCCCAGCCATATTTTTGTATTTTATTTAGAGACAGGGTTTCACTGAATTGCTTAGTGCTCGCCATTTGCTGAGGCTGACTTTGAACTTGTAATCCTCCTGTTTCAGCCTCCAGAGCCACTTGAAACACACACAAAAAATATTTTTGGTCAGGTTAGTGGTAAGAAAACTTTTCCACTTCCAACTGGGGTTTATTTGAATTTTCCACATCCAACTAGGGTACATTATGAATCTGCAAATTAATTGAGAGAATGTTTTCTATTGTGCTTTTGATGCCAATGAGACTGGGCTAACTTCATAGCAGCTAAATTTGCAGGAAGCTCTCTGGGAGATGTTGTGGTGTGAACTGATAAATACAACCAATAAGAGGGTAAATTATAAGTTATAGGTTAGTAAAAAATATAGATTATAGGTATAAGATTTTGATAAGTGAGATAAGACAATTATAAAGCAAAAACTGTTATAGACAGGCCTAAGACTCCATTTTGCTGCCTTCTATAAAAATTGTTAGAAGAGCTGTTTCTGAGAAACTGAAATTAAAGCTGTTTTCTTATAAAAATTGTCTTTCTGTACTTTGTACCCTACAAATTGTACCCTACTCAGGATGCAGCGGTGGTCGGTGGTCATGGTGAGCTACATCCTGGGTGTGAATGCCCTTGTAGGTCTGCATGACTTTGCAATAGATTCTCACTCCTCCGACACCGCCTAAATTCAGGATGCAACTGTCTAGCACCTGCTTGAACCCAGGACTGTGGGCAACTGAACTGCAAAGCTAATGCCTTTTTTTTTAGCTTCTGGCTTGCTTGCTGACTGGAAAATTCCAGTCCTGCCTAGAGCCCACAGGTTCCACTTATTAATTTCTATGATTGGCTAACTCACATGGTGATAAGCAAGTCACTACTAAGTTGTGGTTTTGTCCTTATATTTTCTTTGTATGGACCAGGAAGCTGCTATCCTCCCACAGAGCTTGAGTCTCCAAGGTGGGTGACAGTCCCTGGCCAGGTAAATAAAGCTCTCTTTTGATTTGAAATTTGGACTTAAAAGTGCTGAGGCGTCTCCCCATAACATGAGAGTTAATGGTAATTGTATTTTCTGGTGACTGTTCTTTGGTCAGATAAAGGCATTTCATATATGATTTCCTTCTGCATTGTCTTTAGCTCAAATACTTTTATTTTAAAATAATCTTTATACCAACTCTAGGAGTTTTATCAGGTCTACATAAGTTTAACTTTTCTCCTCCCCTTTCTCCTTTTCTTTCTCTTCTTCTTTGGTTGGCATGCTTTGGGTTGATGTGTAAGAAACCATTACTTAATCCAAGTTCACAAAGATTTTTATCCATGCTTTCTTATAAAAATTTTCTAGTTTTAGTGCATACATTAAGTTGTTCCATTTATTTTGAGTTGATTTTTGCAAATGGTGTGAAGTAGGGGTCCAGCTTCATGCTTTTGCAAATGGGTACCTTGTACCAATACCATTTGTTGTAAAGGTGACTTCCATAATGAATTATTTTAGCACCACTGTTGAAAACCAATCAACCATTTGTGTTTTATTTCTAGACCCCTAATTCTAATCCTGGGTCCATAAGTCTATGAGATGACCAGGGGTGCAGGAAAGAGGGAGCCATAATTTTCAGACGCAACTGAGGCAGAAGATGACTGGATTGAACATCTGTCTCTGCCTCTCCAGTGACCCCAACAGCCTCCTTCCCTGTCTGGGCAAAGGGCCACATAGGTAGGCAGGGCCATTCCCCCTTACAGGGTGAGAACTCAGAGAGAAGCGTTTCAACATTGCCCTTCCCGCTCGCTGTTCTCAGAGGCAGGAACGTCAGATGCCCCAGCACCAATGCGCTCGTGGCGCGCGCACCTGCTCAGCCAAGTGCGCCTGCGTAGGTTTCGCTTGCGCCTGCGCATAACCCACTTTCTGTGCTTTTTTTCCTGAGGCGTGAAGGTTGGCTCTCGCTGACCGGGGTCTTTCGTCGACGGTTGACCGAGGCGGGGAAACTTGAGGGTTCAAGTTGTGTGTAATATTGTAGTGGGGGCGGTCAAGAAGGGGAAACCCTTGCGTTGGCTCTAGTTATAAACCGCTGCAGGTCCCCTGGGTGGGGCAGGAACCTCGCTGCCTCTCCCGGCAAGGAGAGGCCCAAACTTGCCCTTCTGGCTTCTACCTGAGGCAACGGTCTTTGGGGACGGAAGTGTACCACACAGCCGCTTCACTGAGCCACTCAGGTCCAACTGGAAGTAGGAATTGTGTGATCCAGGGGAGGATTTCTCACTTTAAAAATCAGTTTATTTTGATCGCGACACTTGAAGATGTAATGGCCCTTGTAGGCGCCCTTTTGTGTTTAGGATATAATTTGTATTGAGAAAAAGTGGCATGACTTCTGTTTTGGTTCCTAGAATAGAAGAACCCAGAGTATTTTCAGAAGGGTCTATTATATCTAGTTTCAAGTCAAGATAGAGAAACAAAGCAGAGGCAGTCCCTCACCTCATGTTTCCCAAGTTTTATTTTTACAATGATATTTGGAAGTTAATATTTACCTAAGTCCGATTTGCATCATTCCTTACTGGTGTTTATGTCTCTATGTATTATTGGGTAGGGAATTTGGAGCCGAAATGATCTTAATTTTAAGTTTGTATCTTTGCTTTTCACTCATGCAGTGGGCAAGTAGTTATTGAATTTGATTGAAATATATTAGGAGGCTATACTTGGAAAAATCACAAAAGCAAATACGTTGCAAAAGAAAAAAAATTACAGGAAAAAAACCCTTTACTTCCTTTGTTAACATTGCAAAAACTGAGTGGAAATTTATCTTTATTTATTTATTTGAATATTAAGTGAGGATTTAGTCTTTGATAGTCTCAAACTAATAGCCAAAGCATAGTGTCATGAAGTGCAACACAGACTATGGTCTCCTATGGCTAGTTCTGTACTTTATATTTCCTACCTGTGAGTTTGCCAATGCAGTAATCCATTTATCTGATTCAGAATTATGGTATGTCCTTAATTCTGAAGTAAATTGTATAGACAATATGAAAATATGCACATATTAGGAAGTAAATTGTATAGACAATATGAAAATATGCACATAATTATTTTGAACAGAGCTGGAAACATAAGTTTTGTTGTAAATACTTACTCAGAAGCAAAGGACTCCCTAAAATGTTTACATTATCAGATTTCAATGTAGCTTTCAAAGATAATTTTCATAATTAATATGCTGGGAATTTATTTTTGTTACAATATGAGTTACAGTGTTCTTTCTTTGAAGGTTTGGTCAAACATTCATTTTGTGAATGTAGAATGCAAAAGAAGATTATAGACTGATATAGAAAAAAATGAAGAGAAACTTAAATGAAAATTCAACTCGAAGTACAGCAGGTATTGAAAACTTCATTTTTGAAGCTTCTTTATTTTGTATATGCCATTTAAAGCTTGTGTAGTTTGTAGGTGAAACATTTTGGAAGGAACTTTAAGAAAGATGAAACATTGAGTCTTGCTTCTTTTTAGGTCCAAAGAGGTAAAGTGAAACTTACTCAACTAAAAGTATTTAGTGACAGAGGTGGGAGTAAAATAAAAACGTAGATTCACTCTGATTCTTCTGCAGATCCTATGTGCTTGAGTTGTTCTTTGCTTTTAAGATAAAAACAACTATATAGATCTATTTTTAGTTATATTTGTGACTGACTTGTTAAAAATATTTCCAGAAATACATATGTTTTCTAAGAGCTATTATTTCTATTTTCCTAACTTATTAGGTAATATAAGGACAGGACAAAAATGGTGAGAACCAGGTCAAAGAATCAATATGATGCACAATGAAGATAATAATAACTATTATTTATGGTGAACATTTTTAGACATTTAATTATTCATATTAATTTATTTAATTCCTCACCAACCCTTTAAAAATAGATTATTATTATTGTCCCTGTTTTTCCTATAAGAAACCAAGACACAAAATGGTTAAACAAGAAATCTATTAAATGGTAGAACCAGGATGTAAACCTAAGAATGTGACTCTAGGGCTCATATCTTAATCATTATGTTATTCTCCATCTCAGCTTGTGTCATATTGGCACAAAGAGTTGAAGGAAATTGCCCATGTTTATACTTTGAAGTTGTAATCCAAATATATAATTATTACCTAGGTAGTCTCACTGAAGAGCTCACATAATTTAGTATTCCATTAGAAAGTTTTAGAGTCAGTATTCTGTAGTGTAGTGATCGCAGATAGCTAGATGATGGTCTAGTGGCCAGAGATCTGAACTAAGATTTAGGAAGCTTGGGTCCTATCTGGGTTCTTCCAGATACTTTCTTGGAAGTGATAGGCAAACTTTTTGGACTTCTTTTCCTCTGAGTTTCCTTATAAGATTTAAAATCTATATATTGTGACTTGTGGCCTGACTTGAGATCCTATTTCTGCTACCTTAGTAAGTAGAGTTAGTTTTTTTTTCTTTTTTGTTTGGATTTGATAGTGTCTCTCTCTAAGGCATTCTCAAAATTACATATAAAAATATCATTACAGACACTGGGGGTGCAGACTTTGGGTTCCAGACCAAATATGTTGAAATAAAATTTTATAAGAAAGGGTTTATGGTCTTAGTACTTGAGGTTAAGCAGAATTCTAGTTTAAATCTAAGTCAAACTAAACTTGAGAACCATACCCTAAAAGATGTGCTGGTATTATCCAAAGAGTGATTGGGGTTTTGAAAAACATGGTTCAGTGACCTCTGTTGTACACCATGGATTTTCTACAGTTGATAGGGTAATAGGTAAGCACATGAGAGAAATAAGGAAAACAGAAAGTGGAATGAGAGAAGAAATGGGAATAATTTCCAAACAGGAGGAGTTAAAGCAATGTTAAGATAGTACAAAAAGGTACTTTTTAGAGAGATAAATGAAGCTATTTAGGATTTTAAAAAGAATGTAAAAACCAATTCAAGGGCATAGAAATATGCCTATATTAAGTATATTAACATATGGAAGTAGACATTAAAATTGTGCATTATAAGTATTCTATAAGTAGATCTGATTATGTAGTAATTTATTTTCTGTTATGTACTAATTTATTGGTATATTCAATGTAGGCTGTTTGCCTGTACCATTGTTCAATCAAAAGAAGAGGAATAGACAGCCATTAACATCTAATCCACTTAAAAATGATCCAGGTATCAGTACTGCTTCTGACAGTTATGATTTCCCTCCAATACCAACAGGTAAGAAAAGGAGTAAGGTGAAATATTTCAGGAAACAAGAACTGGGATTGTAGAAAATTGCACGTTTTCTTTATAATGAGAGTAGAAAGATTTTTTTCTTCTTTTACTATCCAAATACAGAAATATCTTGGCTTTTCTTTATCATTCTGATACAGGAGTGTGAGTGTCTCTCTACAAGGGTTGCTTAGCATTTAAATGGAGTATCTTAGATTTGTTTTAATGAAGTAGTAAACTACATTGCAACATTTTTTTCCTTTTTCAAACAGATATAGATTTTTGTGATCTGTACATTTGGTAATAAAGAATGGAGAAACTCAAGTTGCCTCAGGAACAGGGATAAGTATGCATGGAACACAGGAAAAAATGTGGGAAAAAATTAGATTTTAGGAAGGGTAGAAGCCCAGGAATTTTTGGTGCTTGGTTCTGATTTCTTTTGTTTTTGCCTTTCTTAATTGCTGGTTCTTTACTTTCTGCTATGGTGTGAAAATTCATATATTGAAACTTAATCAACAATGTGATAGTAGTATTAAAGGATGGGGGTCTGTAGAAAGTGATTAAGTCATGAAGGTTTTGCCCTCATGCATGGGATTCGGGACACACACTGTGCATGTTTCTGAAGGAGCTTTTTACTTCTTCTATCATGTAAGAGGTGCCATCTGTCAGATACCTAATCTATTGGTGTTTGATATGGGATGTCCCAACCTCCATAACTGTTCAAAAGTAAGCTTCTATTATTTCTAAAATACCCAGTACAGGTATTTTGTTTTAGCAACCTAAATGGACTAAGGCACTCCTATCCAGTTTGTTTTCTTATAGCTTCAACTAGCACATGAACCATGAACTAAGTTGCCATTGTTAGGAGTTTACATAATCTTTTAGTTCTAGCTTTTAGAGGTAATTGATTGACTGTCTTCTGTATCTCTTAATTAAGTCCTGGAGGCAGGGAAGGGAGGCTTTGGTTCATTTTATCATTTAAGCAAGACTACCAAAATCCTGGCTTAGCTTCTAAACCAGTTAGCTGTGGTGGTGAGTGCTGGGAGATATGTTTGCTAACTTTGTACTTCCCTCTGGATGAAGGCTTGGAAAGGCAGACATTTTAAGGTATATTTGGTGCAAGATGGCTGTATACATTTAAACTTGATAGATACTAAAAATTATTAATAGAATATTATGCAACTAGAATTTTTAAAGATCTTTATATACTTGTGTGAGTATATATACATGTATATATATATACTTGTATTGCATATATAATATATATATATATATACTATATACTTGTATATGTAACATACAAGTATATATGTTATATATATTATATACATAAGTATATGTGTTATATATACAAGTATATATAATACTATATATAATACAATATATCATAAATAATATATAATATATATTGTACAGAATATATATTATATATACTAATATTATGTATAAAATACATATTATATTACTAGCATTATACTATATTCAGTGTGTATATATGTATTATATGTTATATATAATATATTGTATTATATGTATAATTGTATGGTTAATTTATTATTTTCCCATAGACCTTAATGTAGCTCTAAAATGATTTTTTCTTTCATGTTAGAGGAATTCGAGGTATAAAGTTTCTATTATTCCCATTTTTATGTATAGAAAATTAGAAATTCACATGGGTAGACACAAGTCAGCATTTATCTAGTCAATCCTCTATCATTCAAAAAAATTTCTACTATTCCTCTAAAGACTAGGAATGGAACCACCATTTCTTAGTATTTTTCCTTAAGAATTACAGTTACCATACTGTAGTGAGACATGTATAATCATGTTTATAGCAGCACAATTCACAATAGTCAAATTATGGAACCCACCTAGGTGTTCATCAGTGGATGAATGGATTAAGAAAATGTAATATATATATATATATATATATATATATATGCATGTATATATGCATGCAATGAAGTTTTATTCAGCCACAAAATAAAAATGAAGTTATGCCATTTGTAGGGAAATGGATGGAACTTCAGAACATTATGTTAAGCCAAATAAATCCAACCCAATTCAGTATATCAAGGGTCATCTGTCTTTTCTCATGTGGAAGCTAGAGAGAAAAAAGGAAAATAATGTGTGGAATATGTGTATGTAGTGGGGGTGGAATCTCATGAAAATTAAAGGGAAATCAGTAGAGAAGAGGAAAGGGACCATGGAGGAGGAGGAAGAGTGGGAAAGGGGAAGTATTGGGGATTGATAGTAGCCAAATTATGTTGTTACATTGTATGTATTTATGAATATGTAACAACAAACCCCACCATTATGTACAACTATAATGTACCAATAAAAATATGGAAAAAATAAAAAAAGTTCATCACCACTTAAATTTTTTTCTAAGTAGCATGAATGTTGACCTTGAAAACTAATAAGTATGAACTACTTCATAAGGAAATGTTCATTTTACTCAATTCTGAACTCTTCAAGCTCTGACTGAGATTACTATTTGTCATAGAAAGATCTTACACTGGATAAGGAAAAGTACTACATCAGTGTTTTCCAAATTTTTGTCTTGACTCAAGAGTTGGGCTGAGATATAACCAATCTGTAAAAAAAAAGAAATAGAAGAGACTAGAGTATACTAGAAAAGATCAGTGTGTGACATACATAATAAGGATAATATTTGATGGCGAAATTTTGTTATGTTCTCTTATCCTCTTTTTGTTTGCCTCTGTTCATCTCTCTTAACACACATTATGTATGTGTCTGTTATGGATTATGATGATGTATTTCTTGCTGTGGGGTGGAATAAAAAATTGGGATAGACTGCATTTATGTTATAGAGTATAAGAAACAATATTAGAATTTTTATGCTACAAAGTATAAGATTCTATATTAGAATTTATTATTTTTGCTTACAGTACAAGGGGGAGGAAAGATATCTATGAAAATCAATAAGGAAGGCTATTGGCAAATTCAACAATAAAGTGCTATTGAAAAGGATTCCTTTCTCTTAAAGTTTTTACATTTCCCAAGTTAAATAATAAATATGAATTAGTTATTTTGAACAATGTTACCTATTTTACTTTTGTTTGTGTTCTTATTGAGATTGGGCCTGGGAGGCTATGAATCGAGAGTGGGCTCCTTTAACAAAAACAATGAACACAAGGTATGTGGAGAAAAATAAAAGCTAATAAATGTGTGTCTGATGCCATTTTTCTGTGTGTGTTTTACATTTATTGATTTGAAAACAAATTATTTACATTTAACAAGACATATTTCCTTGAAAGCCAAATACCACCTTCAGTTTCTCATCCCCTGAGAAGTCAAGATTCTATTCCTAAATCAATTCAGTCAAATACTGCAAGAAGCCAAAGTGGTTGGAGGTGAGTCTACTTAAAATTTGTCTTCTATTCTTTTTGTCTTTTCTCTCTCCTCCTCTTTCCCCCCTCCTTTTACTTTTCCTAATTTTTTAGATAGAATTGCATTTAGGAGATTTCTATGTTAGTAACTATGGACATTCTCATTGTACTTTTAAATCATCTCTAGATTATATACAAAACTAATATAATATTAATTCTGTGTAAATAGTTGTCATACTATATTGTTTAAGAAATAATGACAAGGAAAAAGTCTGTATTTATTTAGTACAGATGTTATTTTTTCCAAATATTTTTGAGCTGTGGTTGGTTGAATCTGTAGATGTGGAGATCTATGAGTACAGACGGCTGACTGTTCTCTGTTTTTCTATACATATTTACCTTTGCCAGTGAGTTTCATATATGTAATCTCATATTGCTTTTTAGCATCTTTCTGTTTCAACTTGAAGAACTCTAGTATTTCTTGTAATATATAACCTGTTGAGATCTTTCAGTTCCTTGGCAATTGCTGGTAATGTAACCTAAGCTTAATAAATGCTTGTGAACCAGATGTTTCCACATTTACAGGCATTTGGTGAAGGGAGAAGAGAATTTTAGTTTCTTTCTCTTAAAACTAGCATGTTGTCTTTTATTTTGTATCAGTGTGCTTCTCTACTCCAGTAGCTTCCATTCTCTTTAATGATTTTGGCTTTGAACCTAAGTTCTAACTTCTCTAAGATTTCTAGTCTCACTTCTCCAATAATTATGTCCAGCAATTTGCAGAATTTTCATAATTTTTAAATATGTTACACATATTCTCTTAGAGAATGTTAGAACAGTATGTATTATAAAATTTACAGTATAAATTTTAGAAAATGTTAAAATAATACACATGAATTTTTGGTTGATTTTTCATGATGTTTTATGGTAGTTTAAGGAGCTTTTATTTTCTGCTACTCTGAATTGTGAGTGATTGAGTATAGTTCAGTAGGTTATTCAAAGTGTAGGAGGTTTATTTAGAATAGCAATCATCAAAAACACAAATAATAATAAATGTTGGCAAGGATATGGTGAAAAAGGAACTCTGTTGGTGGGATTGTAAATTAGTACAACCACCATGGAAATCAGTATGGAGTTTCCTCGAAAGACTGGGAATGAAACTACTATATGGACTGGGGTTTTGGCTCAGCGGTAGAGCACTCGCCTGGCAAGTGTGGGGCCCTGGGTTTGATCCTCAGCACCATATAAAAATAAATAAATAAAATAAAGGTATTGTGTACAACTACAACAAAAAATAAATATTAAAAAAAGAAACTACCATGTTACCCAACTCTACCTTTCCTCAGTATTTATCGAAAAAACTAGAGTCAGCATACTGTAGTGATACATGCATACACATGTTCATAGCAGTGTAATTCACAATAGCCAAGTTATGGGAACTAGCTTAGGTATCTGTCACCAGAAGAATGTAAAAAGAAAATGTGGGATTTGAACACACTGGAGTTTTACTCAGCCATAAAGAAGAATGAAATTATATCATTTACAGGAAATGGATGGAACTTGGGAGCATTATGTTAATCAAAATAAATCATGCTCAGAAAGTCAAAGGGTCATGTTTTCTCTCATGTGTAAACTAGAGAGAAAAAAGGAAAAGAAAAACAAAAGGTAGAAGGAGCTCATGAAATTAAAAAGGAGATCAGTAGAGTAGAGAAAGGGGATCAGGGGGAGGGAGGAGGGAGGAAAATAGAGATACTGGGGAATTAAATTATGTTATGTGCATGTATAATATGCCACAAAGTATATCCCATTAGGGTCATCTACTATATTCTGATGATACATCTGGGGCTACAGGCCCTGGGTAGTGGGTGGCCAGTCCTACTTTCACATCCATATGGACTCAGCAACAGCTTGCTGTTGGGGATTTTGTTGACTATCTGGACCTATATTTTCTTCAACAAGAATGATTCAGGGGAGATGCTGCTACTTCCCTGCTTAGAAGCCCCTGCAACTTGGACTTTATGGTCTGGTTGGGGTGTTGAGGACATGGCTGAGTTGGATTGACTTCTGAGACACCATCTCTGTGTGGGCCCACTGCAAAGGTGAAAGGACTGTAGTTCTCTCAGGGATAGTTCCCAAGCTAGTAATATCTTAATGAGTAAAAATGTTGCTAATGTTAGATGTACTATTAAATAGTTGTGAAGCTAAAAGAAATCTTTCTAGACTATAAATAATAAAAATAATTTGAATAGCCATGAGAGAGGAAAGACAAAATTGTATTTCTGTACTCTCTACTGAAATAAAGTAACAAAATTGTTGTCATAGGAAAAGGAGGTGATCATTGTTGGAAAAAAGTCTTGAGTGTCAGGCAGTTAATAAATAATAATCCTAGTCATATTTTTCTTGGATATTATAATGTTTATGGTATAACTTAAATTTTTTAATTGTGATTTTTTTATTCCATCTTGTTCATATTTAATTTTGCACTTAATTTATTTAACTGTACTTTCCAAATTATTCAAGCTTCGGGTTCTAGAAAACCTAGATTTTTTTTATATTACTAGAAAATCTAGACCTTCTTTTGGATTATTTTCTTAAACAAGAGATGGGTTGTATTGATTGTCTTCTTGTAATAATACTGGTGATATTTCCAGGAAAATTATTCAGAATTAAGAACTTGTGACTTGCACTAGCTTTTTCCTTTGGAACTTTAATGTTTAGAAAACACCCTTCTGATTTTAGCCTCATTAACAACATGTTCTGATCAACTGCTACAACTCCATTTACATTAATGTAGTTAGTAAATACTATAACAGATTGATTAGTATGGCTTTTTAGATACACAGTAAAAGCACAAAATATCTAATTAGAGCTATCTACCCTGTGTATATTCATTTTGCTTGTGATTTAAAATCATTGATAAACCATGGCTTAACTTTAAAAATTTACTTTGTAGTAATTTAAAAATAAATGTATAAAGAATTAATAAGCAAAATCTTTCCACTTGGAGACAACCACTGTCACTTAAAGGCTGGCATAGTTTAAAAATATATGGTGTAGGTTTCTCTTGGTTCTAAACTTGTTAGTAACTTGATATATGACTTTGGGTACACTATTTCCTCACTAAGACTCTTTGTCCTCATCGGGAAAGAGAGGTAATTTATTGTAGAGTTGTCGCAATGATGTGTTTGGAATTTCAAACTAGTTAGTTACAAAGTAGTTTGTAAACTAGGAATTGCCATATAAATAAAATTTTTATGATTGCCTTTAAAAAAGTATAAAGAAAGAAATGTTTTTCCTTTTCCCCTTCGTTTTCTTTTTTCCTATTATATCTACAGAGATGACAACAAAAATACCAGCTTGAAAACTTGGGATAAAAATGACTTTAGACCTCAATGTAAAACAACAAAACTAGTGACAAATGATGGAAAAAATTCTTTTCCAGTGAATTTGGGAACTCAGATACCACAGAAACAATTAAGGGTATCTGAAACTCCTAATTTATCTTATCACAGAGAAACTGAGGTTCTCAGACAAATGTGTTCATCAAAAGTTTCTGGCTCCACAATAAAAGGCCCAGATAAAAACAGTGCATTACAGACATTTAAGCCCAATTTTCAACAAAATCAATTTAAGAAAAAAATGTTGGATGATATTCCAGAAGAAAACACTCTGAAGGTAAACATTTAAATATTAAAGAATGAATGAATGACTTATTTTTAAAATGTGAAGTAAATAGCTATTTAGAAAGTTATAGAGGTAAGAATATTTGAAATCAATCCCCTAGTATATGTTACTTGATTAGCATAAATATCCAGTTCCATTGGAGGGATGAATATTAGTTTGTAAAATATTTTCTTAGCAGGCAACTGCTCTTTTTCATAAATGCTTCAGAGTTTCCGAGTGGATTCGGTGTTTCACTGCTTACTGATTATTAGCATAACAATTTATTCTTTGCTTTCAGAAATTATCCAACTCTGTTTATCATTCTTACATATTTTTCCCCAACAGAGAACAGAAACATTTTTCTGTAAAGGGCCAAATAATAAGTATTTTTGGCTTCATAGGCCACACTATCTCTGTTGCAATTACACAACGATGTTACTCAACTCTGGCGCAGCCATAGACAGTATTTAAATGAATGGGCATGTCAGTGTTCCAGTATAAGTGTAAAGAAACATCAAAGATTAGATTTGGAGTACAGGCCATTGTTTGCTGATTTTTTGTTTTATCATCTGGACCTATTCTACTTTACCAACCTCAGTATTTCACATTCCGCTAATTCTTCAATGTGCTAGTCATTCCAAACTCTGCACAGTTCTCCAAACAAACATGGCATGCATTCTAATTAATCCCTGCTTTGGTTTGTATTCTCTATATCTGTACCTCAGCTTCATATTCTCTTTATGCACAGTATTCTACTTATTTTTATAAAAGTCTTCTATATAGTATGTGTGCTGGTTATTCTTCCCTTTCTCACTCCCCTGGCCCATTGGATTCTTTATCTCTTCTTCTCTGTACCTTAGAAGGCTGAATCATCTACATAGTACCTCATCCTGGGATTCTTTTACCTGCTGGCTTTTGCTAAAGATCGCCCAATGGGAGTCATTGGGAGGACATCAAAGGGTGGGTGGAGAGGTTGTGTTTTCCCATTTTTCTCCCTACTTAAATGTTGTACTGATGGAAGTGGCTGTGTCCCTACATGACATAGTCTTTTCAGGAGTCTAGCTTTCATGGATTGGATAATTTTATTTCTTTCCTTGTTCTTTCAGCCTGGGAGTGGTAATAATTTCATACTATTGTTAGTCTTTGGGTGCTTAAGTTTGTTTTAGTCCATATATCTGTAAAAACAGTCTTTTCAGTAAGCCATCAGGGTAAATTCTGCTTTTCGAAAGAAAAGAGACTCTCTGGAAACCAGTATAGCATGAGACCAATATAGCATGTTTTATAGTGATTCTCAACTTTGTGATTCCTTGTACATAAATGATATGACATAGTCAACTTAGTAACAGTGACATTAATCTTCAACTGTAGTTTTATTAGAATTGTTGTTAGGAGGAAGAAAAGGGGCAAAGTAATTGTATTTTTTTAAAAAGAGTCCCATCAGGTGTTCTTACAAAACTCATCCTGACAAAATTGTCCCCACCCCACCTGAGCTGGGAAGATGAGGTCCAGGAAGAAGCAGTCCATGGAGAGAGGTGCTGTCTGCTAGGAGATAGAACTCAGGAGGAGATGCAGCCATATGCAAGCTTTTGGAAGATAGTTTATTGGAATTAGGGTAATTCATGGCTTTGTATTTGCCAAATTCACATGAAAAGAACATTATGGAGAGAATTGTGGCCAGTGTTTTATCTCAGAAATAACTAGTGCCTTTTTTCATGATTTCTCTAGTCCCTGAGAAACTATGAGGGCTCAGCTGGTCTGTTAATCTATAGGACATTTTTATGACAATTAAAATATCACTCTAAGGAGGGTCTTTTGTTCCACTGTCAGGTTTTATTGGCTAGTATAAGCTAATAAAACGTAATAAAATTATACAGCTCATATTACATTTAAAACATAGATTTGTAACACTAAGGCTATACCCAGAAAATATACTGGACTTTGGTGTCAACCAAACAAAATTAATCACACAGATCCTTAATATGTGATTATAATTTTTCCCTAAGTGTAAGTTTCTTTGTTTGAACCACTTAACAAGTTTCATCCTCCACAACATGATGAAAATTTTAACAGCAACTAAAATTCATTTTATATTCTTTTGTCAGACACTTGCAATGGTTGAATATAAATAAATCTAACTCCTTTCAAAAAAAATTGTCCCCACCCTTAAAAATTAGTATCTTACATTATATTCTTAGTTTGATCTGTAAAAATGCTAAACACATTTCTACCTTAGGGTCTTTACACTTGCTATTCTCTCTGCCCCACTTCACCATCCACTAAAAATAATAATCTCTCTCTTTGTCCTTTTATCTTGTTTTTTAAAAATACATAGAATATATCAATTCTTAATGTTCTGTTATGTATTTATTTATTGTATGAATCCCCTTTTAGATTATAAAATATGTGAAGGCTGATATCTTGTTAGTTTTGTTCATTATTGCTTCCTTAAAAGCTATGTTTGGCACACAGTAGGTGCCCAGTTAACACTTTTGAAGTGAATCAGTGAATGTGTGTGATTCACCTCCTTGTGTGGAGCACATTGGAGAAAGTGTTTTACTCACAGGTCTATCACAGGATGTGGCACATGATGCTTATTGAATGAATGAACAAATGAATGAGTGGATGAGTGCTGTATAAATGATTCTCTTCTTGATTGCCTCTGAGTGCATCCTGGTTTATCCTTCTATAATATACTAATGATGGTTTTAATTTGGGGAAGTAATTGTATTGAAACTTTTAGTACTTCTTTTTACGTATTTACTTATAAAGACCTAGAATCTTTACATAGAAGGTAAAAGTATATGAAGAGAAATAGAAAGATTTTTCTAATGTTATGTTTTTATTTTTCAAAAGGAAGCCTCATGTCAGTTACAGTTAAAGGAAAAAAATAATTCTCTAAGAATTATTTCTGCAGTTATTGAAAGCATGAAGTATTGGTGTGAACATGCACAGAAAACTGTACTTCTTTTTGAGGTGTTGGGTAAGTATAATACTTTAAAAATATGTCAGGTCATACTGTCTGGACAAGTTTTTAATATTGATAGGAATATCTAAGGGATCTTGAAGAAAAAAATTTTGTGAAAGGAAAATATGTTTTATTAGAATTTTTTAAGTTCTTGGTTGGGTGTGTCATTGATTTGTATGAGTTAAGTATTTGTGGCAGTATTCTTCTGATTTATAGTGTTATAATTGAAAAGACATTTGCATGTAATCTATCCTCTTGAGTTATATGAGGAAATTGGCCAAATAATTAAAATAGACTTGATTAAAATTATGAAGCTAGTTAGCAGCAGAAATTAGCCTAGAATCAAAAACAGCATACTAATGGAGCACAGCCACATCAGTGTTTATAGCAGCACAATTCACAATAGCTAAACTGTGGAACCAACATAGATGCCCCTCAGTAGATGAGTATATAAAGAAAATGTGAGATATATATATATATATATATATACACACACACACATACACACACACACACACACAATGGAACATTACTGAGCAACAAAAGAGAATAAAATCATGGCATTTGCACATAAATGGATGGCCTTGGAGAAAATAATGCTAAGTGAAGTTAGCCAATCCAAAAAACCAAATGCTGAATGTTTTCTCTGATATAAGGAGGCTGATTCATAGTGGGGTTGGGGGGGCATGGGAGGATTTGACGAACCCTAGATAGGGCAAAGAGGTGGAAGGGTAAGGGAGGGGTCATGGGAGTAAAAAAGATGGTGGAATGAGATGGATATCATTATCCTAAATACATGTATGAAGACACGAATGGTGTGAATATACTTTATTTACAACTAGAGATATGAGAAATTGTGTTGTATATGTGTAATATGAATTGTAATGCTTCTGCTATCATATATAACAAATTAGAATAAAAACAAATTTTAAAAAAAGAATCTAGAATCTGAATCTCCTTATTCTAAATCTAGCATTTGAAGCAAAGCTCATCCAAATATAAATTAAATCATATTTGAAATACTCTGAAAGAACATTAAGAATACTGATAAGAATAACCACCCTATAACTAATCTGTTTTCTAAATTAGCATTTAAAAGTAGGTGAGTTTTGTAGAATGTTTCTGGAACTTGATCTTACCTAGAATGAAGAGATAAACAAGTAAGATTTGAGATTCAAAACATATTTATTTCCATTATTTAAATTTAATAATAGTATTTATTTAAATTACAAAATAATCCAAACATATGGAAATGTACAGAGAATATAATAAATATCCATATGACCATGTCATAGGTATATTTGATGCTCCTGTATATTTGCCTGTCTAGAGAGAGCTACTGTAGTATCTTTTATGCCCATGATTTTTATCATTTTATAGTATACATTTGATTCCATAAGCTTATATTTTTGGTTTATGTATTATAGAAATACAAAGCTTGCATTTTCAGCCAGTATACTTTTTGAGATTTAGATATGGTGTTTCTTCATTGTTTTAACTTCTATCTTGGGTAGTTCTTTCCCTCTGAAATAAAAGTCTTATTTCTGCTGCTCCCTGAAGTATATTCAAAGAATTGCAGTTTTCATAATAGTAATGACAATTGCAGACTTAATAATATCTATGGTAGACAGACTGTTGGCACCTCAGATGTCTGTGTCCGAATTCCCAAAGCCTACGAATATTACCTTATGTGGTTGAGGGACTTGGATGATATGGTTAAATTAAGGATCTCAAAGTGAGAAGATTATCTTGGAAATCTTGGTGGGCCTGACATAGTTACAAGGGAAGCAGGAAGGTCAGAGTCAGGGAAAGATTGGAATATATTATCCTGCCAGCTTTGAGTTAGAGGAAAGAGTCATAATTCAAAGAATGCAGTGTCTAGAAGCTTTCAAAAGGAACACGACCTTGCCTGACCTGTTTTAGATTTACACCACATTGTCACATTTTTAGATGAATTTCTTTTGGTTGCTCTTTCCCAGAAATAAACTAATGGACTTTTGGGTATCATTATTTCTGAATGGTAGCATACCCATCACTGAAACCCTGATCTGTGTATCTGGGGAATGGAATATGCTTTGGCTTAAGTCACAGGTCACCCCTGGATCTGTGGGTGAGAACAAAGCTCACCCACATCTAAAAACAGAATAGATGTGGTTTCCAATAGAGGTTTCCTAAAGGAAAATCTGGATCTTATTAGGATAAATGTAAGTGAACCTCAAAATATCAAATGCCTACTACTAGTACTTAGTAGATGTTTACTGAAGGAATAAACAATGTAATTTGATAAAAATTTCTGAAGATAAGCATGGATTAGTATTTGTATTTTACAGGTAAAGAAATAGCTTTGTAAAGAGGTTGAACAGTTTGCTCAAGGGGAAAGAAATGGGGAGATATAGGTAAAAGGGTACAGATTTTCAGTGTTGTAGGGTAAACTTAGAGATCTAATTAATGTATTCATGGAGAACTATAGTTAATATATTGTATGTTGAAAAATTGAAGAGAATAGATCTTAGGTGCTCTTTCCACATGAAAAAAGGTAACTATGGAAGGTGATGGATATGTTAATTTGCTTATCTGTACTAATTATTTCACATTTTCAGTATCGTATATGTATGTATCTTGTTATATACCCTAAATAATACATTAAAAATAAATTTAAAAACCAATTTCTTGAAGTTACAAAATATTAGTAAGTTGAAGAACTGGGACTGGAATGCATGACTTCTGATTATAATTCAGTGTTTTTACATTAAGCTGTCATGCTTATTATAATAATGTACTTATTATTATAATACAGTAGACTGGTCTGGGGATTTAACCACTATAGAGAACACGGTCTATGGAAAAAGTTTCAGATGGCCCACCATTGCCAATTGTACGAACTTGATATATAATCTGTTTCTAAATAAGAAAGGGCTCAAATATTTACTTTTCCATAAAATTGTTTCAGAAATATCATTCCTTTTAAAAATGTCTTCTTTATTACTATAAATAGAACTTTAAGAGGTTGATGTGGGAGTTATTTAAACATAACTTTTTGTTACATTTTATTTTATTTATTTGCATTTCTAATGTTGATTTTCCCCCTTATTTCAATGTGGTTTAGCTGTACTCGATTCGGCTGTTACACCTGGCCCATATTATTCAAAGAATTTTCTTATGAGAGATGGGAAAAATACTCTGCCTTGTGTATTTTATGAAATCGTGAGTATTTTTTAAAGCATTCTTTGCAAAGACCATGCCAACAAAACAAAAAATGCAGGCTGTGATTTCAGTGTATTATAAATTCAATTTGTTTAGTACTTGAAACATTTTGTTTGCTTGTAGTTCAGATATTAAAGTTATTTACTTAATCTGGAGAGCTTCCTATGTGTCAAGCACTGCATTGGGTGCAAAAGATATAATGTGAAATACAGTGATAAATGGCTCCTTCTCTTAAAGAATTTCTAATTTCAAATAGAAAGACAAATACATAAATGTTATAATGTTATATGATAGAGGTATAAGAAGGGTGCTACAGATGTAGATAAGAAGAGTGGGCCAGATCAGAGAAGGATGTTCAAAGAGATCATCACCTGTATTATCTTAGATATTTAAGAACCCATAAGAGCCAAATAAGCCCAAGTGTTGGTAGGGCAATAGGTGGGGAAGATTCATTTTAAGGTGAGGGGGCAACATATGGCAAGACATGAAGCTAAGAGAAAGTCTGACTTGTTCAGGGAGCTGCAAATAATATATAATTACTACAATGAGAAATTAGAAAGTGAAGGGGTTGGAGGTATGGGATTCTGAAGTTAAAGCAGGAGTGGCTTGGGATATAAGCAAAGGCTAGGTAACAAAGGCTAGAGATCCCAAAGGAGGCCGGAGACCTTTTAAGACCTACATGTTTTATGAAAGGTGTTGATTTTAATTCTGAAATTGGCCTCAATTCTGAAATCACACTTGGATTCCAATGTTTAGTATACTTCAGTATTTACCAGCCTTATGACATAAGTAAGCTGCTCAAACTATTTGAGCTTCAGGTTTTTAAATATCTGCAAATGGGGAGATGAATTCCTGCTTTGAAAAGTTGTTGTGGAGATGAAACGATAAAACAAATGCACAGTGCCTGACACACAGTAGGTGATCAAGAAATAGTAATTGTCATGTTAATTATTTTAATATCTTGGATGTTTATTTTTTCCAGTGTAAGTATTTTTTAAAACCCTGTTATTGAACTATAACATATACAGAAAAGTACACTATTTCTAACTGTATAGTGATATGAAGCATCAAAGTGAACACTTCCCAAGTTAAGAAGTAAAATGTTGTTGTCATCTCTGAAGCCCTATTGAACTTCTTCCCATAAATTGTATCATATGGTATATCTTTTGAAAAATGTGTGGTTGTTATCACTCAACACAATGTTTGTAGGATTCATCTATGTTATTGCATGCAGCTATAGTTCATTCATTTATGTTGCTATGTATTTGGTTATGCAAATATTCCACAATTTGGAATTTTATTGTATTGTTGATGGACATTTGGGCTAGTTAAAGGGTTTTTTTGCCGTTATGAATAATAAGCATAATGAATATGAACTTTTTTGTATATATTTCTTGTGCATATGCATGCATTTCTGTTTGGTGTATCTGTAGAAGTAAAATTGCCACGTTATAGAGCTAATATAGTGGTTATTGCCAAAGGATTTTCCAAGGATTGTATCAGTTCATACACCAACAAGGAGTGTAGGAGAGTCACGGTTTCTCTGCATTCTGTTTTTTTTTTGTGTGGTGCTGGGGATTGAACAAGGCAACACTATACCAACTGAGCTATATCCCCAACCCCTCTCTGCATTCTTATCAACACTTAGTATTGTCTTTTTTATTGTAGCCTTTCTGAGCAAGTTAAATGTTCCTTCATTTCTCTGCCTGGTGACCAGTGTTGCTGAGCACGATTTCATATGTTTATTGGCCATTTAGATAACTGCTTTTGTAAAGTCTGTTAGGTCTCTTCCTTTTTTCCAATTGAATTACTGGTCTTTTTCTTATTGATTTATGGGATTTTTTTGAAAAGCTGTTCTAGGCACAAACTTTTTGTTAATATTTACTTCAAATATTTTTCTCATACTCCATGGTTTGCTTTTTCACTTTTAATGGCGGCTTTAATGGAGGGAAATTCTTCATTTTATTGTAGTCCATTTAAAAAATCATCAAGTCTTTTCCTCTGTTTTAAGTCATAACCTTTTAGTGAAAGAAGTTTCTGAATGTTTAGTTTTATTCATGATTGAGGGGGTTTGGAGATTTCTGGTCTTTTATTCTGATTCACTAGTTCCCTTAAATGTGTAGCTTTGTTTTGGTTCCAACCCTAAACCTGGGGTGGGGTGGGAGTGATTGCTAGAATCTCTTTTCTTGGGATCATCAGACTCCATTTTTTGTTTTCCCAGCTCTAAGACTGTTAAAAATCTCTGCTCACTTCTTAGATTCTAAATTACCTTTCTGTAATGGCAGATATCTTAAGGGAGAATGCATCCCCAAATCAGGCTTCATCTTGAACTTTCATGCTGTCCAGATGAGGTTTACATAACTCCTCACTGCTTTGATATGTCTGATGCCTATGCAGGGGATTTTAAACATTTTTTTTTAGTACAGCTATTCTACTTCTCAGCTGGTAGTTAGTTGATATGAACCACCTTTTCTGCCATGTACTGAAAGTGGAACTCTTGACAGTCTGACAGAAGAATGGATAATTTATGTGCCATTACATTAAGAATTATTAAGTTATTTAATAAGCAGCATCTTGCTCTATCTTGTAAGAAGCCCTATCCAAGTTCATGTCTTTACTCTGTGACAGGGCATCCATATATGACTAATTGTCATAGACTTTGTCAGCAGTGGGGCACCTGACTCAGGTGAGGAAAGTATAATATTTGGGGTGATTATTTCTAGTTGTTACATTATTTGTTAAAAAATTAAAATTTAGATGAAGTAACAAGTTTTAAAAAATATTTATGTTTTGAAAAACAGGATCGTGAACTTCCAAGACTGATTAGAGGCCGAGTTCATAGGTGTATTGGAAACTATGACCAGAAAAAGAACATTTTCAAATGTGTTTCTGTCAGACCAGCATCAGTTTCTGAACAAAAAACTTTCCAGACATTTGTTAAAATTGTAGATGCTGAGATGAGTTATTATACTAAAGTAATGAATGAAATTTAGATAGTATAAATTAAAGCATTTTCTGATATTGTTTAATTTTTTGTTTGTATAGTTATGGAGCTACTGTGTTTCTGTGTTTTACTTCTTGAATTAAAATGTTTAAATCCTTTTAAAAACGTGGAAATAGTTTTTGAAAGATGGGATGTATTTACTAAAATTCAGTGACCATTTTAGATAAAAATGCCCACTATAATAAAAATAGATGGATACTTTCTCAACATGGGATAATAATATATCTGAGGCAGCCCAAAAGCCAGTGTCTCACTGAAGGGGGATCACTGAAGGCATTGTGACTATCAGTACCATTCTTCTTAAGTACTATTATTAAACATTGTTCTGGAACTGCTGGTTTATGTGGTTCATTTAATTACTTCATTTTTTAAATTTCAAGAACAGCATTTTATTCTTCTGGTGTATAAAATACGAGGAAAAAGTTAAATCAAGGACTTAAAAGATGCTTGCTTAATATAGTTTTAAACTATAAAATTATTTCTCTGGAGGCAACTAACCTTACATAGCTGCAATCACAGTTCAACAGAGATACCAAGAAACACATCCTGTGTTCCTTTTCCTTGGTATCAATTTATTTCATTTCATTCTATTCCTTCTATTCTGTATCTTATATCACTTTCCTTTCTTCTTTCCCAACCCTCTTTCCGCCTTTTGGACAGGCTATTGCAGTCAGATTCCAGTTGGTGTCTTTCCTTGGTGTGTAGGATAGTAGATAGATGAAGAGATATGGACTAGTGATATCTCCTAAAACGTTTTTTTATATTAGTTGTTCAAAACATTACATAGCTCTTGACATATCATATTTCATACATTTGATTCAAGTGGGTTATGAACTCCCATTTTTCCCCTGTATACAGATTGCAGAATCACATCGGTTACACATCCACGTTTTTACATACTGCCATACTATTGTCTGTTGTATTCTGCTGTCTTTCCTATCCTCTACTATCCCCCCTCCCCTCCCCTCCCATCTTCTCTCTCTACCCCATTTACTGTACTTCATTTCTCTCCTTTGTTTTTTTCCCCCCTTTCCCTTTACCTCCTCTTATATATAATTTTGTATAATGATGAGGGTCTCCTTCCATTTACATGCAATTTCCCTTCTTTCTCCCTTTCCCTCCCACCTCTCATCCCTGTTTAATGTTAATCTTCTTCTCATGCTCTTCCTCCCTGCTCTGTTCTTAGTTGCTCTCCTTATATCAAAGATGACATTTGGCATTTATTTTTTAGGGATTGGTTAGCTTCACTTAGCATAATCTGCTCTAGTGCCATCCATTTCCCTGCAAATGCTATGGTTTTGTCATTTTTTAGTGCTGAGTAGTACTCCATTGTGTATAAATGCCACCTTTTTTTATCCATTCATCTATTGAAGGGCATCTAGGTTGGTTCCACAGTCTAGCTATTGTGAATTGTGCTGCTATGAACATCGATGTAGCAGTATCCCTATAGTCCGCTCTTTTAAGGTCTTTAGGGAATAGTCCAAGAAGGGGAATAGCTGGGTCAAATGGTGGTTCTATTCCCAGATTTCCAAGGAATCTCCATACTGCTTTCCACATTGGCCGCACCAATTTGCAGTCCCATCAGCAATGAACAAGTGTACCCTTTTCCCCACATCCTCGCCAGCACTTATTGTTGTTTGACTTCATAATGGCTGCCAATCTTACTGGGGTGAGATGGTATCTTAGGGAGGTTTTGATTTGCATTTCTCTGACTGCTAGAGATGGTGAGCATTTTTTCATGTACTTGTTGATTGATTGTATGTCCTCCTCTGAGAAGTGTCTGTTCAGGTCCTTGGCCCATTTGTTGATTGGGTTATTTGTTATCTTATTGTTTAATTTTTTGAGTTCTTTGTATACTCTGGATATTAGGGCTCTATCTGAAGTGTGAGGAGGAAAAATTTGTTCCCAGAATGTAGGCTCCTTATTTACCTCTCTTATTGTTTCTCTTGCTGAGAAAAAACATTTTAGTTTACGTTGTTATTGTTGATTCTTGTTATTAACTCTTGTGCTATGGGTGTCCTATTAAGGAATTTGGAGCCCGACCCCACAATATGTAGATCGGAGCCAACTTTTTCTTCTATCAGACGCAGAGTCTCTGATTTGATATCAAGCTCTTTGATCCATTTTGAGTTAAATTTGTGCATGGCGAGAGAAAGGGATTCAGTTTCATTTAGTTGCATATAGTTTTCCAAGCACCATTTGTTGAAGATGCTATCCTTCCTCCATTGCATGCTTTTAGCCCCTTTATCAAATATAAGAAAGTTGTAATTTTGTGGATTGGTCTCAGTGTCCTCTATTCTGTACCATTGGTCCACCCGCCTGTTTTGGTACCAGTACCATGCTGTTTTTGTTACTATTGCTCTGTAGTATAGTTTGAAATCTGGTATCACTATACCGCCTGATTCACACTTCCTGCTTAGAATTGCTTTTGCTATTCTGGGTCTTTTATTTTTCCATATGAATTTCATGATTGCTTTATCTATTTCTATAAGAAATGCCGTTGGGATTTTGATTGGCATTGCATTAAACCTATAGAGAACTTTTGGTAATATCGCCATTTTGATGATGTTAGTTCTGCCTATTCATGAACAGGGTATATTTTTCCATCCTTTAAGATCTTCTTCTATTTCTCTCTTTAGGGTTCTGTAGTTTTCATTGTATAAATCTTTCGCCTCTTTTGTTAGGTTGATTCCCAAGTATTTTTTTTTTTTGAGGATATTGTGAATGGAGTGGTTGTCCTCATTTCCATTTCAGAAGATTTGCCGCTGATATACAGGAATGCCTTTGATTTATGTGTGTTGATTTTATATCCTGCCACTTTGCTGAATTCATTTATTAGCTCTAGTAGTTTCTTTGTAGACCCTTTTGGGTCTGTTAGGTATAGAATCATGTCATCCCCAAATAGTGATAATTAAAGTTCATCTTTTCCTATCTTTATGCCTTTAATTTCTTTTGTCTGTCTAATTGCTCTGGCTAGTATTTCGAGAACTAAATTGAATAGAAGTGGTGAGAGAGGGCATCCCTGTGTTGTTCCAGATTTTAGAGGGAATGCCTTCAGTTTTTCTCCATTTAGAATGATGCTAGCCTGAGGCTTAGCATATGTAGCTTTTACAATGTTGAGGTAAGTTCCTGTTATCCCTAGTTTTTCTAATGTTTTGAACATAAAGGGATGCTGTACTTTGTCAAATGCTTTCTCTGCGTCTATTGAGATGATCATGTGGTTCTTATCGTTAAGTCTATTGATGTGGTGAATAACATTTATTGATTTCCGTATATTGAACCAGCCTTGCATCCCATTGATGTATCCTATTTGATCTTGGTGTACAATTTTTTTGATATGCTTTTGTATTCGATTCGCCAGAATTTTATTGAGGATTTTTGCATCTAAGTTCATTAGAGATATTGGTCTGTAGTTTTCTTTCTTTGAAGTGTCTTTGGTTTCGGGATCAGGGTCATGTTGGCCTCATAGAATGAATTTGGAAGAGCTCCTTCTTTTTTTATTTCTTGAAATAACTTGAAAAGTATTGGTATTAATTCTTCTTTGAAGGTTTTGTAAAACTCCGCTGTATACCCATCCGGTCCAGGGCTTTTCTTGGTTTGTAGTCTTTTGATGGCTTCTTGTATTTCCTCCTTTGTTATTGGTCTGTTTAAATTGTGTGTATCTTTCTGACTCAATCTGGGCAAATCATATGAGTTATGAAATTTATCCATATCTTCACTATCTTCTATTTTATTGGAATATAGGATTTCAAAATAATTTCTAATTATCTTCTGTATTTCTGTAGTGTCCGTTGTGATATTGCC